TCGCAGTTATGAGTACTAGGCTTTAGTTGTAATCCTTTCAAGAGCTTGAAACACCAGAACTACTCGCACCGGTGTTAGTCGACCCCGATTTGTAAGGAACAGTTGCGCTGGCTTTAGTTGTATTCCTTTCATACCTATGAGGAGGTCCGGAACAGCTCCGGGGCTTTACGCGCTTATTCCTTTCGAAAAGTGTTTGTTGCACCTGAGTACTCAAGCCCCAAGAAAACCATTTAAATGCATGAAAGCCAGCGCATCTGTTCCTTTCAAATCGGGGCGACTAACATCGGAGCGAGTAGCTCTAGTGTTTCAAACTTTTGAAAGGAATACAGCTTTTCATGCATTTAAATGGTTTGAGTCGGGCTTGAGCACTCAGGAGCAACAAACACTTTTCGAAAGGAATAAGCGCGTAGCGCCCCGGACCTGTTCCGGAGCTCCTCCTAGAGGTGTGAAAGGAATACAACTACTGGGTGTGCGTTGTTGACACCACTAGTGCGTATTGAGAGTATTGAGACGACAAATATGGACAACAGTCTTAGGGCGGTTACACACGGACGTGGATGTCTTAATACATATACGTGCATACATCAACGTGCAACCAAGAACGTGTATGGCGCTTTTGTACACACGCTCATACAAAACTGCAGGCTTGCTATTCTTGCTAAGGCGGTTACACACGGACGTGGATGTCTGAAAACATTTACGCACATACATGAACGTGCAAACAAAAACATCAATGTGTATGCAAAATATCGTCGCGGTTTTGAATGTGCAATTTTGTATGCACACTCGGAACACCGTAGCAAGAATGGCAAGACTGCAGTTTTGTGCGAGCGTCTGTACAAAAGCGGCATGCACGTTGTTGTTTGCACGTTGATGTATGCACGTATATGTATTAAGACATCCACGTCCGTGTGTAACCGCCCCTACAGTGTTCCGAGTGTGCATACAAAATTGCACATTCAAAAACGCGACGATACTTTGTATACACATTGATGTTTTTGTTTGCACGTTCATGTATGTGCGTAAATGTTTTCAGACATCCACGTCCGTGTGTAACCGCCTTTAGGTTTACGTTCCAATTTCTTAGGACCATAGCATATCTGAAGGCCGATACATATGGAAAGGATAGCAAATAGCATATTCGATTAATGAATAAAAAAATGTATTCCCACATTCCTAATAACGAACATTCTTTCGTCAAGAATAAAACTAAAGCTACCCAATCGGGCCATCTGCCAGGACTTCTGATTGGCGTGAGAAATTTTGATCAGTGGCGGCTCGTCGTATAAAGCAACTGAGGCCGGGCCTCACATGTAAAAATTACAATAATGATGTAAAATTTTGAAATAATATTTATTAAATATTTAACGTTTTTCAACTATTTTCAATCATTAAAAGAATCAAAACATCGAATTTTCATTAAAATATAATACTATTTCTTGAATTTAGCGCGCGCTTCTACCTATTTATCCTTATAGGCGCTCAAATCGTTGCCGGACAGCATTAAAATAAAATAGCAATCCCACAAATTTTGGCCTCATGTGCGTCACAGAACGGCGAAGCGATGCCACGGCACTCCCCACCACAACCCTTCAACTGTAGGTGAGACGATAGCGAATTTTTATAGGCATTGAGGCGCACAATTTTGGGCTTGTTAACAAGAAATCTTGCATCTCTTGCTGCTGCGATAAGTATTTAATTGGTTAATTGGCTCATACTTTTTATGTTGGTCTGTTGCGGGTTAAAAAACTGTTTTTTGGAATTTATTTTGTTAATTTGAAACTCAATATTTGTATTAAAATAAGAATTATGTACCTACTGCTGTTGTTTTGCAACTGTAGGAAATGAAAATTTTCATTAGAAATATACAAAAAAAAATATCCCAGATGTTCTTTTAATGAAATTTTGGGTCAAAATTTGGGCGTAACACTTGAAAATTTTGTTTGGGTTAACTTGATAGACCATGGGCCTCACCAGTTTGGATTGTCACGAGCCGCCACTGATTTTGATGCCACTGTATGCTAGCAGCGATGTACAACACAGCAATTTTCGTGCGTCGCACTATATTTCCTACTCCTACTTTAAATGTTCACTCCTCTGAGATGACCAAAAAGTTAACTTATTGCAAATCTTCCAACCAGTGCAGAGTCCTCGTTGTCAGCGGTAGTGCAGTGCGAACTGGAGTGCGTTCAAAGACGGCAATGCTAATGCCAAAACCTACTTTTCCCCTTCTACCGGCAATGCCAAATCTGGTGTGAATTTGTTGGAACGCCAAATACCGTTTCTCCATTAGGCAATCCAAACCACGTGACATTCAAGATGGCGTGGCGTCCACACATGGACGAAAAAACACACAAAAATATCTAGTTTCTGCCCAACTCAATAGTTTACGTACCTACAAATATTTTATTGAATAATCAAAATCAAAGCTGCAAGCAAAACTCGAAGCAAAATAATTGAAATATGCATGAAAACACATATTCAAAACTATCTTGCTGGCCGCCACGCCATATTGAATTTGGTCACATCCAATCAAAATTCGTATAACCATTTCTAGACTCAGTTAAAAGCACCTCCAAAAGTTACTTTACCGCGGCCGATTCTGAACGTGTAAAGCCAACCGTTTTTGGCACGGTGGAGCCGAATTTGAACGCAATATGCCAATTTTGGCTTGGCTTTAGCCGTTTTTGAACGCAGCCCAGGAGTGCGTTCAAAGACGGCAATGTTAATACCAAAACCTACTTTTCCCCTTCTACCGGTAATACCAAATCTGATGTGAGTTTGCTGGAACGCCAAATACCGTTTCTCAATTAGACAATCCAAACCACGTGACATTCAAGATGGCGTGGCGTCCACACATGGACGAAAAAACACAAAAAAATATCTGGTTTCTGCCCAACTCAATAGTTTAAGTACCTACAAATATTTTATTGAATAATCAAAATCAAAGCTGCAAGCAAAACTCGAAGTAAAATAATTGAAATATGCATGAAAACACATATTCAAAACTAACTTGCTGGCCGCCACGCCATATTGAATTTGGTCTCATCCAATCAAAATTCGTATAACCATTTCTAGACTCAGTTAAAAGCACCTTCAAAAGTTACTTTACCGCGGCCGATTCTGAACGTGTAAAGCCAACTTTTTTTGGCACGCTGGAGCCGAACTTGAACGTAATATGCCAATTTTGGCTTGGCTTTGGCTGTTTTTGAACGCAGCCCTGGAGTGCGTTCAAAGACGGCAATGCTAAGGCCAAAATCTACTATTCCCCTTCTACCGGCGATGCCAAATCTGGTGTGAATTTGCTGGAACGCCAAATACCGTTTCTCAATAGGCAATCCAAACCACGTGACATTCAATATGGTGTGACGACAATATATGGACCAAAAAACACAAAAAATATCTAGTTTCTGCCCGACTCAATAGTTTACGTACTTAGTTAACAAATATTTTATTGAATAATCAAAATCGAAGCTGCAAACAAACAAGATAATTGAAATATGCATGGAAACACCATATTCAAAACTAACTTGCTGGCCGCCACGCCATATTGAATTTGGTCTCATCCAATCAAAATTCGTATAATCATTTCTAGACTCAGTTGAAAGAGCCTCCAAAAGTTACTTTACCGCGGCCGGGAACGTGTAAAGCCAACCGTTTTTGGCACGCTGGAGCCGAACTTGAACGCAATATGCTAATTTTGGCTCGGCTTTAGCCATTTTTGAATGGCTACAACCTACGTGGTTCGGCATTACCAGTGGAGGGGGAAAAGTAGGTTTTGGCATTAGCATTGCCATCTTTGAACGCACCCCTGGAGTATTTGCCGAAACCAGCGGGGGTTTTGCGAAAACACGACTCGAAACGGACTCTCGATACGAAAGTGAATACGCATCGACCAGTCGAGTGACTTTCGTCGAAATACATTCGCATGGAGTGCGTTCGAAATCAAAATTTCGGTGTATCATGGCGGTTTCGGTTCGAATCGAGAGTTCGTAATCCGCCCCCAGTTTTTCCTAGTGTGGTAGTACGACACCAAAACCAAACAAATTATCATTTCGATAGCTTTTTCAGTGTAGTGCATTTATCATTTTCAATCCACTAATAATAAGTGGTATTCGTCTGGTGAAACTGTGCGAGAAAAGTTTAGAAGTAGCAAATATCTACTATGAACTAGCTTAAAAAGGGGGTGTGACCCAAAAATAAAAGTTTTAGTTCAAAAAAATCTAAGAACAAATATTTAAACTGCATCTTACTACGATGAACCGTTTTCGAGTTAGGGCCGTTTAAGGGCGGGTATTATAAAACTGCTTGGACAGTTAACTTGAAGTTAACTTTTTGAATTACATGTAATTCCAGAAGTTAACTTTAAGTTAACTCTCAAAGTAGTTTTATAATACCCGCCCTTAAAGTGACTAACGCCTAAGCTGTGACGTCACACTGGCTTTGTAGGCACAGTTAAAAGAAGTGTAAAATTTTCCAAAACAAAAGTCAACGATCTCACTAGAACAAATTGCAATCAATTAAAGTATAGGGCACGGTTCACTGACGACTGAAAAAACAGAAGACTACGATTTCGGCGGTTAGCCGGTGTGATGTCACAAGTTCTCGCAAAATGTATCTTCATAAGGGATTTTCTCGGATGCTCTTTTGAATATAAGACTGCGGTTTTCACGAGAGATCTTAGATTTTTTTTTTTTATTTAAGTATCTTAAGTTGTTTTTTTTGGGTCACACCCCCTTTAAAGTATACTAGATCGGCTTTATATTTAACATTGTACACATTGTACACATTGTATAGCATAGTATAAAACTGATGAGCCCTTTAGCGAGTTTATATTTCTGATTTCTTCAATCCGCAAGAACAAAGGTAAATCAAACCCTTCTTGATATCAGTGAGCCCTATACAGTGCTGTCAATTTAAGAAATCGCCTTACACCACTGACTGCCATTCGAGATTCTCGTATCACGTCATGTCAAGTCGAGCTTGACGTGTTTTCAAGTTCGAGTGGCTGTGTTTAGTCACGCCCTCTTTTATGTTTTTATTTACAAACAAAAATTCCCAAATTTAGGGCTTATCTAGATAATATAGCACAAAACCGCAGGGGTCCGAACATAAACCGATGCGTCTAGTTTTGTCAAAACCACTTTTTGCCTCAGTGATATTTCCGCAGATATGATTTTCGCACAAACAAATTGTTGTGCTCGCGAGTCGTGGTGTAAGGATGTTGCTAAATTCGCTGTTCTGCCCCAAATAATTGGCATTACTCAAGCCCCACTTTTATAGATATCCTCGAATTTACCAAATTTAATCACGCTGGAACTCATGGAACTGGAAAATATTGTGGCAAATACAGTCTATTTAAAGGCTAGAGAAGGTAGGTCACCTCGCATGAGTATTCGTTTTTGAGGAATCTAGAGAGGTCTCTTTACCTTTTTACATTCCTGAACAAACCCATACAACTCTTGAAAAAACTTTGTTATTAACACTGTTCAAGATGTGGTATTATCTAATACTGGCAATAATAACAAGGTCATAGAGTGGAATGGTTGAAGAAGAATCACTGCTCAATTCTGGTGGGTTAATAGTGCAAATACCTAAGTTTGACCTCTGCTCTATTGCCTCGAAAACAGATTTCAATTTACATATCCTCAAATTAAAAATTACATTTAAGTACAATTAACACATTACAATTATTATTCAAAAAGACACAACACCATTCAAATATTTTTAGCAATAACCTCAAATTCAGTCAAGAGTACTATCTTAACTTCATTCCGTACATGATTATACAAACGGAGCCCCACCAACATTAACCTAAATGATAATTGTTGCTAAGGAGTCTCAGGGGGCACCAAAAGAGGCTGTCTGAGATTTCTGTTTCTTGTATTGAAGAGGTTTCTGCACCTTATTCATAAAAGTACTTCCCAATTTGTATTAAATTATCCTGTCAAATAATTGTTCCACTATTATACCTACTGCTTGCACATTTACCATCTTTCAGAGCTATTTTAATCACAGCCTCCAGAGTTTCAACAGAGTTTTCAACTTTTTCTTTTTATAATATATTTCCCAGCTTAAAGAAAGTCCTGATTGTGCTATAAATGCCTGCATGCTTAACAATCATATCACTGTCTGTTGGCTTTCCGTAGTGATATCCACATGTTTACTAATTTTTATTTCAATTTGACAACCAAAAGAAAATTCCTCTAAAACTACATCAGTACAAACTAGCACTTACTTAAAAACTGTAACACTACATCTCATACTACATTATTGCCCCAAATGGTCAAAATGGCACTATATCAAAAATCATTAATTTGGTTTTTCTTTCATTTAAAATCCAGTACAGGTACAGGTCTCCTTTTTCAGATGTTATCTATAAAATAATACACCACTGTAAGGGAAACTTTTTTTCTAAAACCACCAAAATTATTCCAAATTAATTTAAAGCTATTTCTCTACTGATTCAACTAAGTACTGTTTTTGAAAGCTGATTCCCCAAAATGCATCGTCAGTCGTGCAATGTTTTCGTTCCGAATTATTAAGAACTGTTTATAATAATTTAATCTTAATCGCCCTTTTCTTGTTTGCCAACAATATGCTTTTATGAGATAATCAAAAAAAAGCTTGTCTTATTTTATAATAACATATTTATATGGTGGTAACCCTAGAGACAAATATATTTGTAACGATTAATTTTCTTTGGATATTTGACTGATAGGTTGCTAGTGTAAGCTTTAGTTGAAGCAGATTTTCAAGTCTACTGACTAATGCGATGGTTAGACTTGTCTTTAATGTCTTTTTTGTGAGTTGTGAGGCGAGTGAGCAGACAAATTTATTTATTATTTACATTGGGTATAAGCTTACCTTGTGGTGTAAAAATTATTTTTGTTGTCAGTGAAGAAATTCCAGGTGAAATTCATTCAAGTCGAACATTATGTTGTCTTATGATTAATTTGTTCAAAGTTTTGTTCCAGAATTAAGTCTTGCCTGAAGAGTTACTACAGGATCTAATCTCTTCAAAAATTTCAGTGTCCCTTTAATGTTTCGCTAAAGATTTCTCTTCTAGCTCAATGAAACAAGTACCTCCCCCCATATCCATAAAATTGCAATTAAAACAATACCTAATTATTGTCTCATTTTGACCAAAAACAACATATTTAAAGGTCTTGATATTTTATCCTAGTAAAATTGTATTTCAAATTGTTGATTAGATCACCCTCGGTTCTCCTTGAATGTCATTCATAAGCATTACCTGTTAGTTAGTTTGGCCCAATTTTTCTTGCTTTCGCCGTTGTTTCCTAAGTATAGTTGGTTCCTTGAAGTTTATGATTTATATACGTTGGCAACTGTGAAAAGTGAGTTTTGGTCTGAGGTGAAGTGGGAGAAAAAAACGATATGGAAATACACAGTAGCAATGGAATAGAGCGAGATAGAAATATTAGTTCGCATATTTGCCGCCGAAAAATTCTCACTGGTCGCACTTTTATAAACTTTGACATAAAATCGAACTGTAAAATTTCAATTTAATCCAAGTAATTAATGGAACAATAATGCTCAAAACTGCACTTAAGCAATTCATTGTCCTTTTCACCCAATACCCATTACTAAGTAGAGGTTTGTTAATAAATTAAGTTCGAAATTAAGGTACATTATATAGGTATAGTTATTTTATTTTTGAACTGGAAGAGTCCGATGTTCAAATCAAATCAAATCAAAATTTGCTTTATTATCGAAGATATACAATCTTATTGACAAAGCCAAACCTAAATCTATAAACACCGTAATGCCTCAAAACTAGTTACATGAAAGACCAAGTGAAAGACAATAAAATAAAATTCGATAAAAAAATATAACAGTTGCAAACACTTAAAAAACAAACTGATTAAAATATACATACACAGTCAACATTCAAATAGAGAGAATGCGAAAAGTCAGTCATAAAGACAGAAATTGAACAATAATAATAATAAATAAAATCGAAAAACAACCAAGCAGTGACCCAAGGTAGTGACTCACTGAAAATTTTCCAGAAAGAAATCCTCAATGTCATAAAAAGGCCACACAAGCAATAATGCCTTTAGGCTTTTACGAAAAATCCTATCATTATTTATTTGCCTAAGAGAAAGTGGTAAATGATTGAATTTTTTTTTACCATTGTAAATTAGTGACTTTTTGTCTGTGCACTGTTAGGTGTAGGCAAGTTGAGCAAATGGGAAAGACGAGAACTGCGTTCTGAGAGGGCAGCAACACCCTGCTTTCCAATATAAAAATACTTGGCAAGGTCAAACTTCCCTCCGACAGAAAAAAAGGCCGACATGAGTCTCTAACTTTTGCTCGGTATATGTATCTCACTGCCCTCTTCTGCAAAATAAATACACTATTAAAGAGTCGCTTAGAGCAAACACCCCAAAAGCACACACCATATCGCAAATGGGACTCGATCAAGGCGAAGTAAGTTTTACGTGCCGCCGACCTATCAAGTTGGGCACTAATAGTTCTCAGTGCATAACAGCCGGATGCCAACTTCCTATTGAGAGCTTCAACATGGGCCTCAAACTTCAATTTGTCATCAATGTATATACCCAGAAATTTGTTTTCGTTCAAATTGGTAACATTAGAATTATTGAGTGAAATACCCTGTAAATTACATTTAAATGACATTATGCATGTTTTTTTTTACATTTAATGAAAGATTATTTGAGTCACACCATTCCTTCACATGAACCAAGTCATTATTTATAAGATCACGCAATACACTTTCATTTTTTCCATGCCATGAGATGGTAGCATCGTCAACAAAAAACGTAAATTGGCCCGCTGCAGTTGAGTGTCGTTAACCACCCTCAAATAATGAAGACCTCCGCTGTCGCGTCGGTCTTCAAACACTCTCGGGCGGTAAATGACACTTACCGCCCTTAATACTTAAATAACTATAACCCCCTGAATTCCTGGGGGTTTTAGGGGACATTGGCAAGTCAAGCAATATTTAGAATAAATCATATTAGGTACGTTCTGATAACTTTTTCTTCAGATTCATTGTAATTAGAAAAACCATTTTTAAAAGCAGGGTACCACCTAAGGGTAACGCTACCTAAACAAGTCTTTTAAAAATTCGAGAATTTCAAATTGATAACCCCTGTCTTTTTGAATTCTGTTTTGACTGAAAAAGTCAAAAATTTTGTCAGACACAGGACGTCTTCTTGGCGACCGTTTAACTTTTGACCAGTTTAAAAATGTTCTTATCTTGCCCTACTCACTAGAAAGGCCAATATTGTTCCTTCATTTTAATGATTATGATTTATGAATAGACCAACATTCTTCTAGGATATTGAAACAGAATCTCTTCTTGTTTTGTTTTCCTGAGTCTTCAATTCAAGATTGAAGTTGCTTCAAGATGAGATCCAGGCAAGACAATACTAGAGTGAAATTACAGTTTCGTTTAGCAAGGTCACTGTCATAAACTGATATGCATTGGCCAATTAAAAAAGTACCCGAGCTGGTTTCACAAAATATTTTTGTCCCATGTACCACAGTAGTTTAAAAGTGTTTTCAATTATTATTGTGGAATATTTTTGATAATAGCTGTGGTATGCAATATGGTAATTAATAAAGCCTTATATCAGAGCCAATAAATATTATTATAATAATAATATTATTGGTTGATATCCTCTAGCTATTATAAAATTTCAGTCTTTTTTAGGTGGATCTGATAATAATAAAGGCAAAAGCAAAAAATGGAAAAAAATACTGCAATTTCCTCATATTTCCCAATGTCTTGAATTAGTCAATAAAATAGGTAAGCTAAAAACAAACAAACACACTATAATAGTAGGTACCTAATAATACTTTAATAAAAACATTTTTTTCCGAGAACTATGTACCTACATATAATTAAAGCTTTGTTTTGTTTGCATAGATGTTAGGTATGAATATGTAGTTGAACTACAGCCAATTGGAAAAATTTTATTTGGACAATGGTGCGAGCTCCAAGGATCCCTATATCACTCATGTTTTCTTCTAATTGATTTCGCCAAACAATATGGGGTGGAGACTGATGATCAAAGGAATACCTTAGTTAGCATTATTAAACAGGTAGTGTATACATTTGAATAAATTAATTGTTATATTTTTGTGCGTAATTTTTCCACATATTTAAATTTAGTCGCACTGCAATAAATAGGAGAATAAATATCTATGCTCTCATAGTCTAGGAAAATTGTCGATTTTCAAAAAAAAAAATCCTACCCAAAAGAACTTTTCAGGGATGATAGGGGGAGGGTGGGTGATCATAAAACCGGAAATATCAAACATTCACCCCTCTGGCTGAAAAATGACTTTCAATAAGTTGACAATTTTGAGAAAGTCTTAACTAAAGCTGTTCTAATCAAAGATACTTTGAAACGTGTTTTTTTATCTTAGTACCACATAAACACTCAAAGACGATCGTGAACTAGTTTGCTAGTTTTGTCTGAATCAAAAGAACTTTTCAGGGATGATAGGGGGAGGGTGGGTGATCATAAAACCGGAAATATCAAACATTCACCCCTCTGGCGTTTTGCGCTATAGGGGTTGAAAGTGCGCCATTGGCGATTACTTGGTACCTATTGATTTTACAAAAAAATGTTTCAAATAAAAGATGTGCAACATTATTTGATCTACAATGTTTATCTAAAGACTTTTTTGATTAAGGGCCGTCTGTGGTCATAAGGGCCGTTTGAAATTTTATAATGAATATGAAAAATTTTAACCATCGTGAAAAATATTTTTACAACACATACAACATTTTTGCTTTATGAAGTTTTTACTCACCCCCTGCCGTTTTTCAATAGGGGTAGTTTAAAGTTTTTTTATTTTTTTACAAAAAAAATTTCTTAATAAAAAGTTTTATAAGATGACATTTCCTACATTTTTTTTCAATCAACTTTTTTTGTAACTCACCCCCATTCAGCGGGGAGACATTTCCCTTGGGGAAATTTTAGTTTTTAGGGGTATATATTAATTTTTTTTTCTTTTCTCGCCTTTAGGGCATATAAAAAGTTGCCATTAACATTGTATTGAAGGGATTTTTTTTCCACCACCTTCTTGTTTTTAGGGGTAGTTCGCCTATTTTCAACTTTACAAAAAAAAAGTATTAAGAAAACTTGTTCATTTTATTACATATTTTGAACAACTTTTCTCTATAACTTTTTTTTTTGTTAAGTTGAAAATAAGCGAACTACCCCTAAAAACAAGAAGGTGGTGGAAAAAAATCCTTTCAATACAATGTTAATTGCACCTTTTTATATGCACTAAACGTGCGAAAAGAAAAAAAAATATATATACCCCTAAAAACTAAAATTTCCCTAAGGGAAGTGTCCCCCCACTGAATGGGGGTGAGTTACAAAAAAAGTTGATTGGGAAAAATTGTAGGAAATGTAATCTTATAAAACTTTTATTAGGGAATTTTTTTTTATAAAAAAATAAATAAACTTTAAACTACCCCTATTGAAAAACGGTAGGGGGTGAGTAAAAACTTCATAAAGCAAAAATGTTGTATTTGTTGTAGAAAATTTTTTCACGTTGGTTAAAATTTTTCATTTTCATTATAAAATTTCAAACGGCCCTTATGACCACAGACGGCCCTTAATCAAAAAGTCTTTAGATAAACATTGTAGATCAAATAATGTTGCACATCTTTTATTTGAAACATTTTTTTGTAAAATCAATAGGTACCAAGTAATCGCCAATGGCGCACTTTCAACCCCTATAGCGCAAAACGCCAGAGGGGTGAATGTTTGATATTTTCGGTTTTATGATCACCCACCCTCCCCCTATCATCCCTGAAAAGTTCATTTGGGTAGGAATTTTTTTTTTGCAATGCATGTATTTTTCGACTATTTTCCTAGACTATCATTATTATTTGAGAAATTTGATCTGAGGTATAAAATATGAAAATAGCACTAGATAGAAACTGTCATAAAATGTTTATTTCAGGATTTTTATGCACCCAGGTTCTTTAAGTACAAAGCAAAGAAAATTTATTGGAACTAAAAATAATATTACCAGAAAATTACTTTTCTATTTTTAAGCAAAGTGATAATTTGTTTTGTAAAGCAGTAAAGAAATTTCTTGGTCTTTTACGAGCACCTACACGGGAAAATAGAATTTTTTTTTATCAATACCGAGCTAACCCTCATTAATTTCTATCTTTAGGAAGTCTGAAATCATTTTCTAATTGCAGCTGTTGGGAATATTTTTTTTTTGTGTTTGACTTGATAGTTGTTTCTTAATATGGGACAACTTAGCAAATAGCGATAGTGATTTAGTAAGATTCCCTAGCGTGATGTTGTTTCTATCTTTATTATCATAAAAATGATATATTGTCGCAGATTTATTATTTGTTGCCCATTTTCATTTATTTATACCCAATGTGATGTAGGCTTTTGGTTAATTTTCCTTTCATGTGATACCCCAAAAAAAAAATAGTTCTTGTGTTAGTAGTAGGTACCTACTTGGTTTATTTGAAATAATTGTTTTGAATAATACCTACTTATTATGGTATGTAGGTATTTTAAAATTAGGTTTTTAAAAAACTGATTTTATAGTCAAAAAATATTTGAAAAAAAAAACAAGAATTCTCTGTACTATATTGAAAAATATCTGGAATCGTCACACTGTCAAGATCTTGGAATTTGTGATAAATAATTTAAAATACATATCAAATGCAATATTTCCAGCCTCCACACAACAAATAATATTTTCACTAGGTGAACTGATGTTGGTGCCTGCCAATTATTGGTCATTGGGCATATATGCGTTTTATTGGAATTAAATTTTTATACATGAAGGTAGAGAACAAAAAGGTCACAGGGTGATCCTGTTGTGGCAGTTCTTGCTTCAATGATCCTGATAGAGAAAATATTTCCTCTTTCCTCTAATGTATGAGTAACAAATAGTGGACTTTGAAGTATCAATTCTGTTGAGCAAAGGTATTTTTTGCATAGCACACTATATCTTTACCTTCCACCATTTCCTACATAGAAACAGTTAACAGACTTTGGATAAGGTATCAGGAGTTCCACTTCTTAGGTTTTCAAAGCTTGGAAAAGTTAGATTTTTTCCAACTTTCTTTTTTTTTTATTCAAAATGGATCATAATATTGTTCACCAGCTCTCATTTCTGTATATACAGGGTGCGTCTTTTAAAACTTACAATAATGGCTATATTTTCTAAACCAAGAGAGATATAAAAAAATAAAAAATACAGTTTTCATAATATCGAAGGGTTTAATTTACTTATTTTTAGCTCATAAATTAACATTATGCAAAAAATTACAATTTGAGTACTTTTTTTATTGAAACAAAATTTTTTTTTTTTTTTTTTTCAATTTGATGTTACATACCATTTTTTTTTCTGCCAGTCTTTCGCATTTTTCATAAGCTTCCCAAAGAGGTGCCACAAGTGGGGTGTTGCCATTTAAGATTTTGAGGTGAAGGGGTGTGGGGCTCAAAGGGTGAGTCGGGGTAGTTTGAAAAATACGTCAAAGGTATTCTCCTCGATATTATGAAAACGATATTTTTTATTTTTTATTTTTTTATATCTCTCTTGGCTTGGAAAATACATATACCTATTGTAACTTTTAAAAAACGCACCCTGTATATAGGAACTTATGCTAAAAATAATTTATCATCTTAAAATAATAACTTTAATGTATTAACAATATTTTTTTTTTATCAATTGACCTTCTATAAAGAACACAAGAAGTTCTTCCATAGTTTAATTTTGGAAGATCAAATCTTTAGATAGATTGCTTTAGCTTTTCGGCTTCTCAAGGCTTTCTCAGTTTGATAGGTAAATTCTCAAAGTTTGTATGTGGTTTTGGGTAGGCTAACAAAATATTCGTATACATTCCTGCTTATAATTGTTCCAGGCAAACCCAGAACAAAAAAAGGCTCTACTAATAACTGAAGCGGATGATCTTTTTGTGGAAGGAGAACAATTGGATGACGGCCCTAATAAGGACAAATTTTATGATATTATCCAGTCAGTCAAGAATTATTTATCAGGAGAACCATTTTTGGAGTTTTCTAAATCTATGTACTTTCACCGTTACTTGCAATGGAAGTGGTTAGAATCTCAGCCTGTGACGCACAAGACGTTTAGAATGTACCGCGTTCTAGGCAAAGGTGGTTTTGGGGAGGTTTGCGCATGTCAGGTGAGTTTTTAGAGTTTTTCGAGTCATGAAGTTATAATGTTTTATTTAGGTTCGAGCTACTGGCAAAATGTACGCTTGTAAAAAACTTGAAAAGAAACGCATCAAGAAGCGGAAAGGCGAGGCGATGGTACTAATTGAAAAGCAAATTTTGGAAAAAATCAATTCTCGTTTCGTAGTAAATTTGACGTACGCCTACGAAACTAAAGACGCTTTATGTCTTGTGTTAACCATAATGAGCGGGGGCGACCTAAAGTTTCATATTTACAACATGGGCGGTGATCCCGGCTTGGATTTGAATAGAACTAGGTTTTATGCTGCTGAAGTGATCTGCGGGCTGGAGCATTTACACAAGCAGGTGAGTGGAAGCAAAGTTAAAAATAATAGAATAATATCAAATGAAAATCACTGGGAGCAATCGTATCTTGAGAAATTTTGACAAAATAGGCCACAAATTATTCGGAAAAAAGAATAGTAATAGAGGCATGAAGAGTATAGGCGTTATGAACAAAAAATATTTAATTGGCCGAAGTTGCGCTCAGTCTTCAACCAATAAGGGCCGATTGCACCGACCATTTTAAGGGAGGTTTAACTATGATCAACGTTTAAAGTGACATTTTTATATGTAAAATTGTCCCTCTTCCCTTAAAATGGTCGGTGCAAACGACCATAAATCATCCTACTGAAAAAAAAAATAGTAAGGAACATTCTACTCATAAAAGTTAAATAAAACATATAAATATAATTAATAAATCCAGTGTTTACAAAAACTTCTTGTTTGATGCAATAAGACTTGATCAAGTCTAAGATACTATGTTTTGCAGTACCCTTCTTAGTTCTCATGTGAAGAGGTACAACCAGAAATAGTCTACGGCCTGCTTATTTATGGGGTTCGCTGAAAAATGACTTTCAATAAGTTGACAATTTTGAGAAAGTCTTAACTAAAGCTGTTCTAATCAAAGATACTTTGAAACGTGTTTTTTTATCTTAGTACCACATAAACACTCAAAGACGATCGTGAACTAGTTTGCTAGTTTTGTCTGAATCTCAGGCATACTAAAGGTGAATATTGTACATGTGCGCGTTCTCAGCAAGCAAAATTTGAATCTTCTTCTCTAGCACCAGCTAAAACGCCGAAAAATACATTTTTACGCAACCTGCTCAATAACGCGACTTTCTGAAGCATGTGAAGCGGGCAGAAAATTGAGAATAATTGCAGCCCGCTGACTGTCACGCATGTGCATTCCCCAGCCGGGCAAACCAGAACATTTCCGGGAATGCTGTCAATTTGACTTTGACAGTTCGACAGGGTGTTGCTTTTCAGTCAATCTCAGTATCTTTTCAATTTTTTTTGAATTCAATATAATATTTGTTTCCAAAAAAGTTGCTTAAAAAGTACTGTGTGCATTACGGGCGGAAAGCGATTTCCACTCGTGTGACTGCCCTTGCTTCTCTCGGGCCGATAACTTTACACTCGTCGGAATCGTCCTTTCCGCCCTTGATACACAATATAATAATATATACTATTTATCTCCTCGCTTATTCCTCTACCTTCATGTCCGTTTCATGTTATGGGTGCGGTAAAGTGGGTTTTATACGAAAAAACGGTTTAAATATTCTAGAACTCTTAACTCCCGACCAGGATGTGGCAGTGTAATCCATTGACGCTTCACGCCCTGATAAACCAGCTGTAATTGTGAACCTAATCCCTTTAGTATATGTTTATTCAGTATCTCTCAAGTTTTTTGTTAAATTTCTTTTTATTCTACCAGGCATTTTGTTTGTATCATGTAGAAATATTATATTCCTTTGCATTTTGTTTCTAAAATTAGATTCATTTCACCAAGAGAAACACAATCCAAAAAACTGAATTAATTTTCATTGCTATAGAAACAAAATGAACAAAGGTTTAATACTTTCGAGATTGACTCATAATTGTATTTTCTATAGATATATTCAAGTTGCAACCAAAAATAAACTATTTTAGGGTATTGTGTACAGAGATTGCAAGCCAGAAAACATTTTATTGGATGACAATGGTCACGTACGCATTTCAGACTTGGGATTGGCTATTGTTTTACCAGAAGGAGAGTCCGTGCGCGGTAGAGTCGGCACTGTAGGCTATATGGGTAATACGCTAGCTTTAAAATGGATGCTTTGCTTTATTGTTCAATTTCTTGCAGTTTTGTTTTAGCATTAGCTCTAACTTACAAATTTCTTTTAGTGCTTCAATATCAGGTTACATTCCTTTTTGTATTTGAACTTTTTTCTGTTTGTTACTCTATGAAAGACAATCTTTTTAGGGCATTTCTTTTGAACTTTTATTTATAGCTCCTGAAGTAATTGACAACGAACGCTATAGCTTCAGTCCTGACTGGTTTAGCTTTGGGTGTCTTGTATATGAGATGATCGAAGGACAAGCGCCTTTCAGGGCACGCAGGGAAAAAGTTAAAAGAGAGGAAGTGGATAGAAGAGTCAAAATGGAACCGGAAAGGTATTTAAAATATTCCTTGAGTTGAAATAATCATTTATTTCAACCACTTAAATTAATTTCATCATACTTACACAATAGATCACAATATGTAATGATAGAATGTGAGGAAAGTAAAAAAAATATAAAATGGAGTTTGGTGTGCCACAGGGCAAAGATCAACTTTATTACCTTTTCCCTATCGGGCAGGAATCTTCCAGCCTTGAATAATCTGAAAATCCATAATATAAGATGTACATCTGCAGATGATTGTATTTGTGAAAAATATATTGAAAGAAAATCCCATTTAAAATACCTGGGTATAATAATTGATCAGCTATTAAATCGGAAGGAACAAGTGAATAATGTAACGAATAAAATAAGAAGACTCATATTCAGATTTTACGAACTAAGAAAGATATTGCCTTTAAAACCCCTTAAATCTGTATACTTTGCTTTAGAAGAATCAATAATTAATTAGTGGCTAGTGGTCTGGAGTAATGCAGGATCAACAATAATGATGCAATTAAATATAGCACAATAATGGGTTATTAAAGTTATGCTGTTCAAAAAAATTAGATATCCCACACACTTTTAGTATATGATAAAAGTAGCCCATTGTCACCAAACCAATTATTTATAAAATCAGCCATAAGATATATGCTAAAAAAACAATTGTTATAGAACAAGTATTAGTCATGGTATAAACACGAGACATGCTGATCATAATAATGTGATGCAAAACCCTAAACACACAGCTGCCCAGAACCATATTTATTCTGTTGGTCCTAAAATTTATAATGATTTACCCAACATTTTTAAAACTTTAAAACAAAAAAATATTGTAAGGTTCCTACATTATACATATAAGATTATCTCTCTTGCTTTGAGATTTGGAACTGCAGTCTCATGGTCTGTCATAGGTGTTTTTCTTTATTATCTGACCTCATTTATGTTATCTATATAAAATATTTGTAAGGGCATAGACACAGTATTCTCAAATACCATTGTATGGCAAAAAATCTAGCAAAAATTATTATTCTGTATGTTATTGTTATTGTTGGTATTGTAGTAACTATTATTGTTATTATTGTAACTATTATTGTAAGTATTTTTTGCTTAAAATATACATTTTTTTAAAATTTTCATAGATACTCAACTAAATTTAGTGAAGACTCAAAATCGTTTTGTCAGCAATTGCTTATCAAGAGTCCCAACGATCGTTTAGGTGGTAAAGCCGATCGCCAAGGGGCGTTGCTAGTAAAACAACATCCGTTCTTTCAAGAGATTAATTGGAGAAGGTTAGAGGCTGGTATGGTTGATCCGCCTTTCGTACCAGATGTGAGTCTTTTATTATTACGAAAAATCTAAATTTTCAGTTAAATTTCAAATGTTCTATTTTCCCTTTCCAGCCCCACGCTGTTTACGCCAAAGACGTCCTAGACATCGAACAATTCTCCACCGTCAAAGGCGTAAACATTGATGAGAGTGATGCAACTTTCTACTCCAAGTTTAACACTGGTTGCGTCTCGATCCCGTGGCAAACCGAGATCATCGAGACCGACTGCTTTAGGCAATTAAACCTCTACGGATTGAACAATACGAGATCACCTGATCTAGTACTAGAACCAGCACCGCAGGCCCAGAGCAGTGATTGTTTTCCGTTCCGACGAAAGGTAACTATGACCTTTTTTCTGTCCAAACAGGATATCCAAACTAGAACGAGCCTTGTTAAAGGGGGTGTAACCCAAAAATAAAAGTTTTAGTGCAAAAAAATCAAAGAGCAAATGTTTAAACCGTATCTTACTACGATGAACCGTTTTCGAGTTGGGGCTGTTTAAAGTGACTAACGCCTAGGCTGTGACGTCACACTGGCTTTGTAGGCACAGTTAAAAGAAGTGTAAAATTTTCCAAAACAAAAGTCAACGATCTCACTTAGAACAAATTGCAATCACTTAAAGTATAGGGCATGGTTCACTGACAACTGAACAAACAGAAGGCTACGATTTCGGCGGTTAGCCGGTGTGATGTCACAAGTTCCCGCAAAATGTATCTTCATAAGGGATTTTCTCGGATACTATTTTGAATATAAGACTGCGGTTTTCACGAGAGATCTTAGATTTTTTTTCTTGATTTAAGTATCTCAAGTTGTTTTTTGGGTCACATTCCCTTTAAATGTATGTTTTCTCGTTTTTCTGATGATAGTCAAAACACGTTCAAAGCTTTGAATAATAGATATTTCAGGTGGTTGTAAAAAATAATAAGATACCTCTGCCGTGTTCGTTTTTGTCATCTTTTTCGTCGATTTGCTCCGAAATTTTGACAGGCACGTGATTTGTGAATTGAAGCAGTCTGATCCAGTCATGTGCCTGTTAAAATTTCAGAGCAAATCGAGGAAAAAGATGACCATAACGAACATGGCCCTTATATCCTTTTTCTACTTGTCGATTTGGGAGCCATTTGCATCCGGCTTTAGTTTTTCTGTTGCATTTTCACAAGTTTCAGTTAAGATTCAAATATGCATTTAAAGTTCTTCTAAGGCCATGTTGGTTCAAAATAGAGTTCAGCTGAACTCGACTGGTACTTGAACTTCCCTATTTGAAATGCATTGCTGTCAAAATTGATAAAATTGGATTATTAGCTGACAGCAATGTATTTTAAATGGGAAAGCTCAAGTACCATTCAAGTTCAGTTGAACTTTGTTTCGAACCAAGATTGTACAACTGGGCCGAAGAGTTGTATTTTGGGGAAAGTTCAATAATAATATATATATATATATATATATTTTTTTTTTTTAATTTTTTTTTTTTTAGAAAAAACAAATTCCTAGGAACCAGCCAGTACCTATCAGCTCTTCGTTACTGTCATCGTTGTCATAGACCCCGTCATCATTGTGTAACTGTCATAGTGCTTTTAATTTATGTAGTTCCTTTGTTCATCATTGTCTTTCTATTTAAGCAGCCAATACATTTGTATATAAACTAAACAATTAAGTACCTAAGTATAGACAACTCAATTTATTTGGTGTTTTAATTATCTCAATAAATTAATTATTCCTGGTTTTTTATTAATAAAACTTATGAAAAATAAATGCACAAAAAGACGAAACGAAAAAATAACAGAGAGAAAAAAATTTGTTTTTTTAATATGGTCCCTTTTTTTCCTTGTTTGAGAAAGATTTGAAGAAAAAACTGATGTGCTGAAGTCCAACGACAAAAAAAAAATATATTTCAAGTATACACCCTGACTTCCAATTCTCAATAAGGCTCTTTATTTTAATGGTGCATTTAGAAGTGTTTGTCATGTTCGTACTTAGTACAGCTGCTCTATAATGTTGTGGGCCCTAATCATCCATCTAAAATTCAATTCAATTCAAAAAAAGCTTTATTGTCGAAATTCCTCTACAAAATCATTGACAAAGCAACTTAACTTAACTAGCTAGCATAATACATATAGGTTCTTAACTTAATGTCATACCCTTGAAACTATAAAGAAATATATTTTGAAACTTTCGCGTCGAAAACAAAACAAAAAAAAAAGGTAGAAAAAAATATACAAGAAACAGTGAGAAAGACAAACAATTTAAAACTTAATATAATATGTGGTGTAGATAAAACAAGTCATTAAAAACGAAAAAGATAAAAAAAAATATAAAATGGAACAAAATATTCACAATCACAATTTAAGGAATTAGTGCAGATAATACTTATAAAATACGTATAATAATGCGATTGTTCAAATATAAAATTCCTGTAAGCAATAGAATGCCCTGGAAACCAAAAATTTTTTTTGTACTGTCACGAAAAGCGAAATATTCCTTGATATTCTCAATATCATTTGGCAAGTTGTTATACATTTTCACGCTTTCATACATTATAGAGTTTTTTGTCAATGCCGATCTAGGTATAGATAAGGGCAAGTTGTTTTGCCTCAGGTTGTACTGTACTTCATCTCTTTCTAACCCCTGGAACTTTTTAAATATCAAGCATACAGTCTCCAATATAAAGATACACGGAACCGTTAGAATTTCATGCTTGATAAAAAGAGGCTTGCAGCGATTGAATAGCGCTTTGTGTTGAATATCCCCAGAACGCTATACCATATCTCAAATGCGATTCAATTAGGGCATGGTAGGCTGTCTTAGCTGAAAGCTTTCCTAGTTCATGGACGAGGATCTTTATAATGTAACATCGATCCTTTAGCTAATTTCTCATTGAGATGATCAATATGTCTGTAAAATTTGAATTTTGAATCTATGTGGAGTCCCAGAAATTTCACTACCTCCTTTTCTTCCAGACTATTGTCGCAGAGGGTGATTCCGACAAGGGAGCCTTGAATGAAAGTATGTTTGTTTTTTGACATTAAACACAAGACAGTTAGCATCGCACCACTCTCCAACCTTACACAAATCCTTCTCTATTATGTTGGCCAAAACATTGTCATCTTTATGTTTCCAAAGAATTGTGGTGTCATCTGCAAAAATTACAAATCTCCCCAGTATCGATAGCCCGGCTAGGTCATTCACGTAAATTAAAAATAAAACAGGCCCAAGAACAGACCCCTGCGGAACTCCATGTATCAACTTTGAAGTTTGTGAATCTTCATAATCTGATGTTCTGGCAAATTGACTACGTCCCGCAAGGTATGACTCAAACCTCTTCAATTCTGTTCCCCTAATGCCATAATGACCCATCTTGCGCAGCAGTATTTTGTGATTTACACAATCAAATAATGCTTTGGAAAAATCACAAAATACCGCCGCTGCCTTTTCGCCATTATTCATCCCTTTGAATATAAAACTACAGGAAGGAGCATAACTTCGAATCTGCGCGACCAAAATATGTGGAGGTTGCATATGGCCGACTAGTATTTCCGGTTTGGCAGTAGCGTATATTTATTTAAATTATGATTGTCAATATTATGACTCACTCTTTTCTCACTAATTCCAGTACTTATCATCACTTAAAACCGCTAAAATCCATTAAACATCCACTTAAATGAGGACACAGGGAACCACCAAAACAAATGATGAGTCCAAACTTGGAGGCTCAAAATGGCGGCTTCCGTCGCTTTTTTGTTTGCAGTGACAGATAGACAACGCTCCTTCCTGTAGTTTTATATTCAAAGATTCATCCCAAAAAACAGTTTCTCTAAAAAGGAGAAAATAGCATCTTGTGTACCCCTTTGCCACAGCCCTCTACACTTACAAGCCATGAAGTTAAAAAGGCAACACCGCAATCTTACCGCCAAGTGGTGCTGTTTTATTTAACCTCAATTCCGCCTATGGTTTATTTACTTTTATTGATGATATGAATTCTTATCTCAATTACATAAAAAAGTAGTTTTCTTTGAAAAAATATTAGTAGTTAGTAAAATTATTGTAATATTACCAATATTTTGTACATATTAATCACACAAAATGCATCATATTGTACTAAAAAGTAAAAACAGTAATTCAATGAATAATATAAATATTTGTGTAAATAAGAACAGTAAATAATTGATTTAAATAAATATATTACTAGATTCTAAAGTGTTATAATCCTATATCTATTTTATATGTACAAGGTCTTGTCAAACAATTCTATACAACTAGCAACTACCTATCATGTTAAAAAAATAAATACTTTCTAAGAATTCGGGAAAGCTACCCTTAAAACATACCTCTATTATTATTTTTAGTACCTGGGTACATTTTTTTTCTATTTCAAAGTGGTTAGTTTTCTTTTTTTACTTGAATCTGTTTTATTTTTATGACATTCACTATTTTTAAATTTTGTGTAGTTGTTTAAAATAATATTACTCATTATCAAAGAAGCAAAGGAGTAAATTTTTTTTGAGTTAGCACCACATTCACAAATTTTGTTCAAATCAATATTAAAGGTATCGGACTCTAAAGCTAATAAAGTAAGCTGCGATAATAAATTATGATGATCATTTGTTTTCAGGAACATACTTTCAAGATCTTTGTTATTAATTATATACTCGAAGATAGCACAAAGATGAAAATAAATAAACTTGGTTTCTTGAGTGGCAATACAGAGACCCCCTCTCTGCAGAGAATTAAAACATGTATGATCCGTCTGGATGCCTTTTGCTAGAACTACTAAACTTTGACATTTATCACATTTATTATTCTTCAAAACTGATCGAGCCACGTATCCACAGATGTATTCCTGCACAGAGTCATCAAAATTACTGTACAATTTTAAATAATCACTATGCAGAACAAATTTGAAATTGTTAATTTCCTGCAAACTTACACACATAACATCAAAATGTTTCGCACACACTACAGAATTTTTTGTTACCGTATAATTATCTCGGTGTATAGCTTTTAGCCATAATTTCTGTAATTCGGAAGTTTTTGGAAATGAAAATGTTGTTTGCAGTTCCTCAGTCTTCAGGGAACTCCTATAGTTGGATTTGCACCTCGGCACACAGCAGTTTCATGGCATCTGGAACAAGTTTAAATATCTTAGATAATAATAATATCGAGACCTATACATGTGCTCTTGCACTTTGCAAAGTGGAAACAAATATTATATTGTTTTTATTTGCTTTTACCTTAACTCACCTTAATTTTTGCTCCTGTACCGATTGCAGTATTTGCTATAAATTCACAATCAAAACACAACTAATAATGGCATAACAGGTATGAACCAAATATAAACAGTAAGTAAACAATATATTGGTGTTTCTAGCCACTTTTTCGTTTGAAAATGCACCTCACTCTAGCAATAAACAATGAAAACAATACACAGAAACATATAACCTCAATAGCAAAATAGCACCATTGGCGACGTTGCCGTTATTTCCAACTTCATGGCTTGTAAGTGTAGAGGGCTGTGCCTTTGCTCTTGAAAGCCAAACTGTTCAGGACTAATAAGGATATCGTTGTTACTAAGAAATTCCACCAATCTTGCTTTAGCAAGTTTTTCTATAATTTTTGAAAGGGTAGCTAGCATAGATATGGGTCGGTAGTTAGAGGGGTCTCGATCATCACCGCCTTTAAAGATAGGAATAACAATAGCCAGCTTCAGACAATCCAGAAATTCACCCATTTCAAAAGAACGATTGATACAATTAACGAGCGCTGCAAGGGCATCTTCCGGCAAGCACTTGAACAGCCTCAGCTCCTGATGAATTTTTTTTTTTAATGCTTCTCATTATGTTTTTCACTTCTGCAATGCTAGTGGGGGTTAACCTGAATTGTTCCGCTGGTGTGAAGGGTGGTAAAAAACTTAGCGGATCTTTATTTGGTTTCAAGTTGCTTGTTAATTTACCCGCCACTGTGCAGTAGAAGCTGTTGAGGTCTGACGGAGTAGCACTTACTTTTTTTGAGTTTTTTGATGTTTTCCCCCTCATTTCATTTACTATTTTCCAATATTCTCTATTGGAATTATTTGCTCTATCTATTCTTTGCTGGTAATAAATTTTCTTCGCTGCTCGAATAATTTTTTTATAAATTTTGCGATACAAAACAAAATAATTGTTAAACCATTCAGATTTATGTTTTTAGGGTGTGTAAGGATCGAAGGTTTTCACCAGAAATTTTTATTGCCTTTGTAATCCATCGTTTTGCAGGTTTGACTTTTATTTTACGCAAAGGAAAACTTTCGTTGAAAATGCTCACCATTCGCTTCTGAAAAAGTGCCACCGGATCAGCCGAATCTGGCGTGCCATCCCAGTCAATGGTGTTTACCAAGTTTCTAAATGTACTGAAGTTTGTGGTACCTACACCTACTAAATATTCTGGTCTTCTTTGGAATTTTTTTTCGCTCCTCGTGATAAAGTACTATTTTCGCCGTGAGAGCTTCGTGATCTGAAATTCCTGAAGGAATAACGTTACAGATTAAATCAGTCTGCTCACTATTACTACAGATATACCTACACGGAAAGAAATTTTGGATACTATTAATCCAGTAGGGTAGTATTACAATCAAATTTTTGATCAATATAGCGTCAATCTAAATTTAGATTAATATCAATAAATGATTCGATTGATTTACTTGTTAAGCTAAAATCTGCTA